GGTAGGGGGGGGGGGGGAAGTGACTAAACAAGAATCAGTGAGGTCTCCAGGGGAACTGGAGAACCAGTACAGGAGGGAAGAGGAAAGAGGGAGGGTGAGAGTATGTGCAGGGGCAGGTGATAAAAGGATTATGTTTCACACAGTAAGAGAAAGGATCAGCATGTGAAGACCCAGTAAATTTCTGAGTCAAAGCAGATGCACTTCAGCTGGAGAAGATACAGCACTAGCCCAATTGCTCTTTGCTAGCCTCCTTTGTGGCCATCTGGGAGAGCAAGTTTAGCCAAGGCACACCTGAACATGGGTAAGATGACAGCAGCTAGCAGCCAGTTCAGTAATTGCCAGTTGTCCAAAACATGCCTCAGAAAGAATTTGAAAAGTCCCCAGAACATTATTAATGCTATGCTGCAAAAGCTCCAGGTGCCCTTCCTCTTTAGCATAAGAATGGCTTGGACTTACACTGTTGTAGGAATCTATGGGGAGGTCAAAGCCATAATTATGGCTACCAAAGCTTGCACCCTACCACATGCAAGGTTGAATTCCAACTAAGGACTAATAGCCCAGAAGTACAGTGCAGGGCTGGTGCTGCTGTGTTTTCAAACTGCTGGGAAATAAGCACGTCATGAGATTCATTAACAACAGAATATTAATATCCGACATCTAACACTAAGACGTCTCACGTGTGTCTTCGATATTGTGAAAGTATTGAGTCAGATACAGGCTTTCTCTGCTACAACAGGGCAGCCATTCTGATACTTAATCAAATGACAAATGCACGGGATCACCACGGCATAGTCATCTCACAAGAAGCAGCAGCAATCCCAATCCGTAAAAGAATGTGCCTCAGCATCCTGAGTGCATGGACAATGTCTTCGCTCCTGTGAATCCTATCTGTCTTCTGGCAACTGTTCCCAGCCTGGCTCTCTCCAGGAGGTGTTATAGTGGCTCTGTCCACAAGGGCATGACTTGACCAGGTCCCACCCCTGCCCTATACCGTCTGCTGATACAGGCTTTGCTCTTTACTCTTCTCTTTCATTGCCTCTCAGTTTTGCCCAGGTCTTCTCCAAAAGACTCTTTCACTGAGCAAGAGGGGCCCATCTTCCTTGTACTGCGTCCTTTGCTCACCTTTGCCTCTGCTGTTTTCTGGCATAAGTGGGTAGCCAGCTGTGGCTTTCCTATGTGGCCACAGAGACCAGGCTCCTGCCCCTGCTACAATCCTTGTTAAGGTGGCTCTCCAGTGCCCTCCTTTTTATTCCTCCCCAGGATATTCTGCACCTCCCACGGTGATGAGGAACTTAAGGGTTGAGCAATATAAATCTTTTTTTGTGACATGATAGTATTTTATCATAGAAATGACTAATGTATAGCTATAAAATTATCTATGTATTATGCAACAAGAGGAAAAAAATAGGATAGTATATAAGAGGCTGTTCCTGTTTTAAGCATGCGTAAACACATATTTACAAGGAATGAATGAACAATGATAGCAGAGGAACTATTGCTGACTACATCCAACATAAACAGCTCTGGACTAATCCTGTGCTAGCATTCTCCGTGTGCTTTTTCTATGTTCAACCACAGCTCATGGTACTCCAATACACTGAATGATTGCTGCATATGAATAGGACAAAAAAGTGGAAACCAACTCATATAAGATTAGGATTTTATCTAATCCAACTTTCACATCCCACTACCCTAACAGGGTTTGCAAATTTTATTTCTGTTATCATCTCATGAAGTGGAAATTTCAATCACAATAACTGAGTGACTCCAAGTAATAAATTTCACTGGACCGAAGCTAAAAGCAACTTTCTCTCCTCGGAGTAATGAAACTAAAGGAGCTTTTCAGCCAAAGTACCACAGAGCTTATTACGTCAGGTATGAGAGAAAAAACAAAACAATTGTTGGAGTGGTCAACAAACCATTTCAGACCAGAACAGTTCACTTGTAAATGAAGTAGTTCTAGAAATCAACAAGTAATTAAAATGCAGAGATGTCAGGAAGCACCGTACTTTGTCCAGCTTTATTTCAGAACCAGAAATCAGCAAGCTCAGCTGGCATAATAGGCCAGACCCTGCTGCCATTTATATAATGTAACTCATTTCATAGGCATTAATCCAAAGGGTTCAGTTGAAAATGATAACTGATAAGAACAGCTACAGTTCTTATCGTATCACATTATACTTGCCAATAAGGCAGATCCTTTGGATTTGCAATGGCCATGAATTTGCATTTGTTACTTTCTTCAGCCAGGTTTGGAGGGGGCATACCACTAGCTTGAGACATAGGAACAGAAAATTATGTGATGTTAGCAGTCTAATGCTGAAGGTGAGTTCTCACAACTGTTGAGTATCATGCTTTATCACTTTATGTGAGTAAAAATCTGACCCTGGCGTACATTACAGAAACATGTCAAATGAGAACAGGATCGTTAGTGTGTGTGTGCACAGATTCTTGTAATCTTCAACACAATCTATTTCAATTCTTTCCTTTTCACTTAAGGCATAATTCAATCCGAAGACAGCTCAACCTATCCAACCCTGACTTCAACATCCAGCAGGTTCAGAAACAGGAGCAACTGACAGGGATTGGCCGCATTAAGCCAGAGCTATATAAACAAAGATCAGTGGACACAGATGATGGCCGGAGGAGTAATAGCAAGGCATGTGGAAAACTGAACTTTATTCTGAAATATGATTGTGATTTAGAGCAGCTGATAGTGAAGATACACAAGGCCATCAACCTGCCAGCAAAGGACTTCTCTGGAACTTCAGATCCATATGTGAAGATATATCTGCTTCCTGATAGGAAAACAAAACACCAGACTAAAGTGCACAGAAAGACCCTAAATCCAGTATTTGATGAAGTTTTTTTATTTACTGTCCCATACAATGATCTGAACGCAAGGAAACTCCATTTCTCTGTGTATGACTTTGACAGATTCTCCAGGCATGACTTGATTGGCCAGGTGATAGTGGATAATTTTTTAGATTTGGCAGATTTTCCCAGGGAATGTAATATTTGGAAGGATATTGAATATGTCACCAATGTAAGTATTATAATTTTTCTTTTTGAGATTTTCTTGTTTCTGATTTTATTTCCTTAATCTGATTATAACTTAAATTGTCTGATAAATGTATGAAGGAAAATACTCTATTCTTTCTCTTTCTCCAGCTTTGACCTTAATCCAAGGAAATTGACAGTGCATTTTCAGTCCTCATTTCTCGTTCTTTGGATATATTAAAGAATGTCTTATGTAGGAGATAGTGGGTTTAGTCATCACCCTGCTGACAGAGTAGAACAGCTGGAGAATGTTTTTCTCTTAATCTTACTTAATCTAAAACGTACTTAAGGAAATACTACTTTTCTTATTTTGCCTGTCTTTCTGTGTTTTGTATTATTTGCCACATAAATTACAGCATACGAATCAGCCAGAACTGCAGATTCAAGATTTCTTATGTAGTGATCTTCAGTCCTTCTAGAGACTATATTCTCATAAAGTGAGATAACACCACATATAATCCAGGCAAACAGAGTGCAGACAATGCTGTCCAAAACACAAGTGTCATCGGTCAGCCTACAAAAATTAAAGCTATAAAAACTATAAAGCCTATTAACTATAAAGCCTATACAAACTTAAAAACATAACAACCACCTCAGCATGTGTTCCATGAAAGCAATGAAACACACTGGATTGGTTTAACCCTTTGTTTGGCATTACTTTGTTACATAGGGAATTAAGAAACTTATAAGTCTATATTTCTGTTGTCCCAAAGTCTCTGGTATCAAATTCTATGCAGGAATCCCATTAGCGATTAGGTACAAAACCACAAAAATTACTTTTGGAAAAGAAAGAGCTTTCTTCTCTTCTCAAAGCCTGAGCCAACCTCCTTGTAATGCTGTTAGAAATTAATCACTTGCATCCTATGGAGAACAGACCTTCAATGAGAATGATACATTACAGAAATCCACAAAGGTGAAGCTACTAGTGCCGAGAGTCAGTAAATATTTCATTTGCTATGTCAAGCCATACTCAAATGGAGTGCACACTTTAGAGTCAAATAAACCAAACATCATTAACAGTAAGATCAAACTGTAAGTTTGTTAGACTTCAATTCAGGAAACCATTTAAGCATATGCTTAGCCAAGTGTAAGAAGCCATTGAAAAGTAAAGGATGTTCTGAGACAAATACTGTCCTGAATTCAGACCCTCACCTTATACCTCTGTGGTCTGGTAGCATGCCCATATTACAGACCAAATGGATTAAATCCATTTTTTTGTTTGGAATTTCTTTTTGAAAAATAGTATTGTCCTTGTTTTAAGCTGATTTCTCAGTGTTCTTAGTCAGTGTTACGTATCCGTCTGTGGAACGTGCCGTGCACCCACTGCACAATCCTTTTCCACACTAGGATGGAACTGCAGCAGCAGCACTAGCAGTTCCCTTACTTAAGGTACAGGCAGGGGCATGGACACCCAGTGTCAGAGAAGGATGAACCTGGCTTTTCTATGAAAAGTTACTGCTCTTCAACTGCAAGGGAAAAGTAAGAATCTGACAGAGCAGATGACAGTTATTCCAAGTGAAAGCCTGCCTTCGTACAGCATTGTGTCCCAAGCTCAACTTTTCAGTTTTACCATCAACTGAAAGTTGAATGCACATGCACGCTGGAGTTACTTTGATATGTACTAGTCCTTTTTCCAAGCTTTAACTTAGACAAAGATTGACTCTGGTATTTTCCTTTTAATCACTTCCCCTTCCAAATTTCAAAAGCGATGCGGCATATAGTTTGTATTCAGATTTTCTGTAATCTCTGAAATTAAATTCAGGACTGAAACATGAGTCATTTAATTCCTACTAATATTAATTCCTGTGTGAAGAGTAACCCTGTTTATCCAAACAGAACACATGACCTGCCGTCTAGACTTATCACTGGGTTTTCAGCTAACAGACCTTTTCAAAGCAAATGACTCATAGCACATAGGAGACACAATCCAATTTTGGCTAATGTGAGTTCTGAGATAAGAGTATCAGATAAATGAAAGTATGGAGTACTCAGCTTACTAATTAACATTTCCAAAATTTCAAAGGTTAGAACTTACTCCATAAAGTTATGAGAAACCCTCCAAGCATCATTTAAGAAACCAAGTTTCAGTACATTTTCTTGTCTGTGTAGCTTAGATACCTCACAGGCTGACAGCAGAAACTGAATCCTATGGGCTACTTGGTGAAGCTGCTGAAGTGAATACTCCTGTGGCTGCACTCCACACCAGGCCAGCAGGCAGTATTAGTGAACCTCTGAAATAAATTTTATCAAAATTTTGAGCACCGTTGGGCAGTTTGTGCTTGCAAACAGAAACCGTATCAACTGTAGGAGGTTTTCAATCATTTTATCTTCGAATGTCTTGTTTCAAATAATAATAATTACAAAACAGACAAATGCTGGGCAAACTTACTGAAGGAAATTCACTCAATGTAGATCAACAAAGAGTGCAGCGCAGGAGGGATAAACCAAGGAAACGTACTAGAAAAAGGGACGGTCCACACAACTACACATGACAAGTTTGTCATACTTCTGAAGAGTACATTCATTTTAATTCCTTGTGCATCTTATTACACTGCATAACCAGCAATCCCAAAGGCCTTTATTTTACATTCTCCATTTTATTATGTTCTAATCCAATTTGACACAGTAATATAAAAGAACGTATGAAATCCTTCTCTGCCCAGAAAAATGGCCTACTTCAAGTGAGCACTGCAGATTATGCCTGAAATGTCAGTTTTACTGCAAACAATGCCATTAAATTGACCTATTATGCCATGTGCTTTCTTCTGTTTTCGAATAACACTGGAAGATTTTTTTTATCCAAAACCAACAGTTTTGATTCTTTGGACTATAACATCTGCTACCATTCCAGAGTTTGAAATTATTTCATAACGCAGACACGTGTCAGCATAAAAATTTTCTACATGCTCAAAAGCAATCTGCCTCCAAACACAAATCTCCAATATCAAAATGATTGTTCTTCTAATCCCAGGTCCTCTGAGCATAAAATCTCTCTCCTGTAACACTGACACTTTTTCCAACCAGAAAAAAGCAGCAGGGGGCTGTTTAATGGAAGAAATAATTAAGTGGATCAACTTTAGATGAACATGAAATGAACTAGATAAGCTTTTTGTATATCTACTGGACAGATTACACTGGTTTCTGGCTCATCAAGAAAAAAAGATACTCTTTATTTTTAGGCTGGGGTTCATGTTTTGTTTAGTAGCCTCTAAAACATATTCAGGGTTTGGGGTGGGGTTTTTTGTTTGTTTTTGTAATGTTCACAGACTGATGGCATGTTTTGAAGAGAAAAGAGTTGTTAATATTTCCTTGGTTGCCATCTTCAAACTAAAATGTGATAAGGCAAAAATACACGGCTTTGTCACAAAATAAAATAAACAGCTGTGAAGGACAGGAAGCTGTCAGTTCATTTCAGATAAAGGAGAACCTTCTCTTTCAGAAGATGCTAAGTATCCACTTGGATAACTTGCTGTGCACCCAGAAAGGAAAATCTTTTCTCAAGAATGTCTTGCTAAACATCACCAGGCGCTATAGGGCACAGAGAAGGATTTCTGTGAACTGGAAATCTAGCTGTGGTTCATCCTGGCTGTTTGGATTCTCAAAATGCTTGGCCTTTGTCCCTTGCTAAGCAGGTGATCTTTCTAGACAAGAGGAGTATTTAAAAGTGGCCTCCACTTAGAGCAGGGGGATAATCGGAGTAAGAAAGAACAATGCAAATTTCCATTCTTAACTGGGCCAGCATTTTCCAAAATGACTACTCATTTTAGGAGGCAAATTTGTGACTTTGGTCTTATAGTATATATAGCTTTTGACACTGATGCTATCTTTTCAGTTGTCAAATATAGTTATACTTGAGATCTAGGCATGGTACAATGAAAACTGTTCCTTTTCTGAATGTCTAAGCTTATATAAACACTTTTAAAAAAAAAAATCTTATTCATAACACTCCATTGGCACCTTTCTCTCATCTCACCCCAAGGTTGAACATCCCAGACTAACCTGTTTTTGTGCATCTTTCTATAACATTCTCTTCTCAAAGAATATTTATAACAAGATTTGCAGTGACTATGCACCTAATACGCTATAAATTGTAGCTACCATATTGACTGCTACCATTTATCCTTCTCCTGTGGTTCCTTTGAGGCTCATTGCTGTATCCACCTCCTGTGAAGGAGTGAAATGAATTGAAACTCTGATAAGAGTGAAAGCAGTCAGATTCAAAACATGGTTTATTCTTTATCTGCAGACAATCAGGGTACTACAAAGGATTCAAAAGCTTACTCTGTTTTTAATATTTTGAAGTAATTTCGCTTTTGTTTCTAACTGAGCGTTGATGAGTGTAGCATCCAGCCACCAAAGTTAAAAAACAATATATCAGGGTAAAAAAGGAGAGTGAAAATAGAGAAGAAAAATATTTCTGAAAGAACAAGAGAAAAAATTACAGAAAGAAAACCCTGGGTAATACATATAGAATTTGAGAAATAACATGTCACAGACTTTAGAGAATGTGTATGGCTCACTGAAAACCCAAAAGAGAGTTATGGAGAGTTCAAAGCTTTGAAGAAACACAAGCTGTATATCAAGTTGTTTACTCTGACATCCAGAAAGAGCCAGCATTTGCTAGAAGTTGCAAAGCCAAGAAATTGATTATATCTGTCTTTAAGAATCTTCAAGCTCTTTTAGGGTATATGTAGTGGTCAAGAATACAACGGTGTGTCAGATAATGCTGAATTGCTTTTGCACAGAAGCAGTAAACAAAACCGTATTTTAAAAAAATAATGAATTTAAGTTGCATGTTGGTATACATGCTAGTGTTTTGACAAAGAGAGTTAAAAAGTAGGATGGTTATAAGTATTTGAAATTCTGCATTCTAGAAATGCTAATTGTTCACTGATGTTGTTCTCAAATTTGCCCAAGAAAGAAAGATTTGAAAATTTGTATTTTTAGGCATTTATGTTGTATAACTGAGGTGCAACTGGAATCATA